AGCTGCTGCGAGGAAGTCATGCATTTAAATGACAGGATAATCTTCATAGTATTTAGTTGGATTTAAAAGGGTAGGTAAATATTTTAATACTTACTTACTTTGTTCATTCAATACTTTTATGTTGTGACTGACTTTGATAAAAGATAGGATATGAAAACAACAACAACAATATAGTGATACCCATTGTCACCGGGGCACTTGGTACCATGTCCAAGAATTTTATAAAACACATCAAGAAATTGTAGCTTCCTGCAATAACACCAGTGGAAGTGCAAAAAACTGCGCTACTCAGAACATTGAACATTGCACATCTTAAGAAGGTACTTGCTTGATGCGTAGGACCCTGGCAGCAAACCTTATCAACTATTAGCACCAGTCAGTGGTATTTGTGATGCGTTTTTTAATGTTCAGTTGACTGAGTTTCATGTTTAATGAATAAAAGAGATGATGATGATGATGATGATGATACCTAGGATGCTGGCAGCAACCCATATCAATCATTAGCACCAACCAGTGGTGTTTGTCACACATTTTTAAATGTTCAGTTGACTGAGTTTCATGTTTAATGAATAAAAGAGATGATGATGATGATGATGATACCTAGGATGCTGGCAGCAACCCATATCAATCATTAGCACCAACCAGTGGTGTTTGTCACACATTTTTAAATGTTCAGTTGACTGAGTTTCATGTTTAATTAATAAAAGATGATGATGATGATGATGATGATGATGATGATGATGATGATGATGATGATGATGATGATGATAAAACAACAACAACAACCATACAACAACCATAACCACATGTGGCTTGTATTTTAAGTACTCTAGTTCAATAACTTTTTCTTCTTTTTCTTACAGTCTCTCATCATTCAAGAGGGGCAATAGCAGTTTGTGTTATAATGGTTATAGCACTCCTTGTTGGGTTAGCATACTTCCTGTATAGACGGATGCGACTACACTCATTTGGATTTACCTCTGTTCGCTATGAGAGGGGAATGCATGATGATGAAACTGACTCTATGTTTTCTAGAAATGATGACTGATAACCATTTTCTGCTTGGTGTACTGAAACCAATTTTCAAATCAGCACCTGAAGCATCTTCCCAAGATGCTATTGACTTCCATTCTTGGGGTTTATTGACACCTTTCCTTTTTTCAAGTTTAGGGGGAGAAAGGGATCTTTAACAACAATCAAACTTTGCACTTTTCGTGACCTGAGATTTGCACGTGGTTTGAAGTATGGTGCACGGAACGATTCTGACATTAGAATATCCTGTATCATTTACCCAAATGAAGTAAGATAGCAGAGGGCCAGAGAATTACTTGAAATATAACTTATTTAAAATGAAGTGTGTGATAGCTTATGGTGTTAAAAACATTATATTTTCAAAGTTAAAAATTACTTTGAGTCAAGCTCAGCTTTTGATTGCTATGTGTAACAGAATGAGGAAACCTGGGATTTCTCATCCAAGCATAAGCAGGTCCAAACTTGCTTACCATTTCTGAGGTCAGCCAAGGTCAGTGAGATATTGCCATCTGTTCTGATACTTTTTATTATCCTTCAGATCTTTTAGGGCCATTCTGATTTTCAATAAAATCTCTCAAAGATTCCTTCCATATTTAAAACAAATGTATTAAAAATTACAGTATATGAAATAGATAAAAGCACACACATGCACACACACGTATGTATGTGTGTGTAGATATAGTAACTCACTCTCTTATATCAATTTAAAGCCTTAATCATTAAAACTGTTTCAAACCAACTCTAAAATCATTCAGTATATATTGCAAAAAGATACCCCCAAAAATAAAATAGAAGACTTACAAAGCTGGAAAAAAAAATCATTGTTGGTTTTAAACAGACTGAAAGGACATTTACCCAGCAACTACCATAGTAGTCTTTGTAGTTCTGAAGTATTTTCAATCTTAAGAGAGGCAGTAAAACTCCAGTGTGATTAAAAACATGAGGTTTGATCAAGCCTTGCGTCCTTAAGGTTTCATTTGAAGCTCAAAGGAGGGTAGAAGCCAGAACTCCCAGCTGCTTGCAAGCAGCTACAAAAACAATGGTTCCTATAGAATTCAGCTGACTGAAATACATATGGGCAATCTCCATCTCTCTCTTTCTTCCAGAGAGAATTTTGACAGTCTGGGTCTCTCAAAGTGCCCCTGTATCCACGCAGAGTAAAAGATATTGCAGGTATTGGCTTGGTTTGCTGCATTGGAAATCCCAGAGTTCTTCATTTTGATCAAAGTTACAAATTAGATTTGGATTCATTTACTGTATTAACTTTTAAAGCTTGACTCTCATATTTCCTGTCGCTACAACAAAACAATAGCAACAAATTATTGTCGGATTTTATGTTTCTTAGATTTTTCTCCTGGGTTTCCGTATACACTGGAACAGGTTAACCTCAGTTCAAGGGCTAAATGAAAGTTTCAGAACCCTACTGTCCATTCACTATCCCAGATTCACGAATGGAAGCGTGTTGCGTAATGTAAAAGTTTTCACATTGGTGATTTTTTATTATTTATGCTAAACTTAATATTTTTCAAAAGAGGTACTACTAAGTATTTTCTTTATTTGTATTCAAAATTAATCTAAAGTTTTATTCACAATCAGAAAGCTTTACTCATGCTTAAACTAGAGCATCCATAATGTTTTGTTCCTGTCTGATTCCATAGCACTGTATTGGTGATTTCTCCTATCCATTCATGCCATCAACTTCCTCATTCTTTGCTGCGGATGGCTTTTTCTGATGGTACATGTAACATGGAACAATTCAACATAGAGTAAACACAACATTTTGTCAGACCTTCGTAAATTTTAGAAAAGTTATAAAAACCTTCTGATTTCAATAGACTTTCCAAAGAGGTGGTTCAGCTGATTTTAAAGCCAAAGCATTTCGTGGCATTAGGAAGACTAGTAAGATTTGTTAGCCTTTAAGGTGCCAAAAACACATTCAGTTTTATTATTTGATTTGTAGCATTTCTTAAATGTTTCCTTTAATGAAACGCACCAGAGAGATAATTAGCATCAACCTCTGAAAACACAGAGAAATGCCATCAGAGATTACAAGGAAAAAATATTGGTTTATTGCTAAGTTAGCACTTTTATTGCTAAGTCAGCTCTTTTAAAAGATAGTGAATATACATCCCTGGAATTAGTGATATATACAGATCTTTTTTTAAAAAAATCAAGCATGTTTCCTATTTCATACACGAGGAAATGCACTCCATAGCATTTATTAAACAAATGCTACATGTGCCCTTTATGAAAATAAGGATGTTTTGTGTGCCTTGAATGCTATATTTTATGGTTCCTATGTAATGGATGTACAGTTCTATGCACAAAGAGAAGCTCATGGCGTAGTTTTTGCCTTGCCTTGTAGCAAAACATAAACTCAAGCCTACAACTAACTTACTTTCCAATTCTTCTTTTTCAAGACAGTTTGTGTGGTCTTTATAAACTAGTACGTAAATACATCCTTTTCTCTAGAGGTGAACATTTGCTTTTAATTTTTTAAATGTTTATAGTTTTAATATGTTTTTCTGTTATTCTATTATTACTGATACTGTTTTAATTCTTGATGGAGAGCAGCCCAGATTTGGTTGTAAGATGGGTGGTTATATAAATGTTTTAAAATCTGGACAGAAAGCCAACTTTTCTGCAGTTAATTGCACTGTTTTCTATATGTTCATTTTTGCACTTGACTTTTAACAACGAGGATATTTTACTATGACCTTTCCAAGGATGTCACCACAATGTGTGTGAGGACCTAATAAAGAAAAGAGGTAGTTTGCACTGAAGAAGTGATGGCTGTTCATTTTTTTTTATACCACTTGTAAAGAAATGCCTGAATGCTTGTTTATGCTCTGTGTCAGGAGTCCAAGGGACAAGAACCCTAACCTAAAACTAGATATAGGAGAAGTGCATTAAGGAGAGATAGGCCAGTGACCCTGCTCTTGTTGCAATGCCTGATAGATAATGCCTTATCCTGGTGCCAAGGGCACTCCAGAGAGCTTTTCTAGTTTCTGCTAGCTGAACTAGGAATGAGTAGTCTGCCAAATATTGCACCTTGAGGACATGAGGATTGATGTAACTTTGCAACAAGAGCCATTTTAAGGAACCACGTTGAAGAAAATCCTAACCAAAAGTGCTGAAATGACTGTGATGTAGTTCTTAAATTAACAGCCTAGTTCAGCCTGGATACAGTCAGAGGGGGGAAGACACCCTTAGGCTATGTAAGGAAGCCCTGCTCAGAAAATAAAAAATGCCTTTATCAAAGTTTATAGCTGATAACTACTTTTGTATACTGTTTAAACAACTTGCCAAGGAGGTAGTTGTTAATCTCATCTCAGTCAGACCAGTCAGCCACTAAATAGCAGGACTGAAAAAAAGTCCCCATAACACACCCTTGCAAATCACAGAAAAGCAGGCCATTTAACAGTATGTTAAGGTCATATTTTCACAAGGCTTGATTATCATGGTCAAGAGATAAAGAGTACGAGATAAAGAGTTTAAAAGCAAGTAGTATTTTGTGTATGTATGTGATGTTCTGTTTAGTACGTTTGTGCAACCCTACTTACAGAAGGTTATTTTGCACTCACAGGCTATTTTAATGTGAATCTATACATAGAATGGGGCTATTCTATCATTCAGCATAGAAATAAACATGAGCGAAATATTCCTCTGTTTCTATAAAGGATTTACAGTCTAAAACTTATTTTGTAAATGGTTTTAATTCTGATTTTGATTTTTTTTTTCAATACAAAAATATACTTGGACAAATGGAAAAATATATGTGAACAAATACAGATGCCTTAATGTATCTAATTAGCTCTCTTGGAGGGAGTTTGCAGTGAAGCTTACCTGTGGTGTTGATAAAAGAAACAGAAGATTTATAAAAAGCTTCAATAATTGCTAGATTTGGACGTGTAAGAAAATTACATTGAGTGAGTTCTTCTCTCCTTATTAAAATATTTTTTATGCTTCATTGGTTTTTTTTAAATCGATGTCAATAAAACTGTTTAAAAAGTCATTATTAATGAGTTTTTATTTATAGAGGGAAGAGGACATTAAAGCTGGGGCTATCATCTGAACTGCAAAAATCTAAATCCTCCTCAGATGGCAGCAAAGTGTGAGTTTCCCCTTTTTGTTTGCTGTCATCTAGAGGTGATAACAGATTTGTGCAATCCCAATCTGGTAGTTGTCATTAAACAGATCACAAAGACAAAATTTTTACAATTTTTATTCAGAAGGTAGGAGACTATTTGCCTACACAAATGCTACCTTTCCCCTTAGATATAATATTTATATTTTCAGATAAAAAAATAAAGGATGTTTGATGGAACTAGGTTCCTTTTTCTTCTAATGTTCTAAGGAAAGTCAGCATGAATGAGGCTTGGATACCATCAAGAGGAAAACACAAGTGACTGATCAGGCAGGCATGGGTGAAATCAAATATAAGGGAGTATCTCATGGCTATAAGGGCAGCAAACATCAATGATTCTCCCTTATGGTGTTCACTGACAACTGTCCAGAGACCTTATACACTCAAATATTGGGGTCTTGTGAGTATATTCAGGCTCTCTGCAGATAACGTAACTCAGATCCACTAGCCTTGGACTGTAATTGGCCAGGCGAACCTAGAGTAAGATACCCAGAACATGAACTTTTGATGTGATGTGGGCCAGAGGTGGGTTGCTCCTGGTTCGGCCCGGATCGGGCAAATCGATAGTAGTGGCAGCAGGAGACTCCGCCCACCTGCCAGGATGCTTCTGCACATGTGCAGAAGTGTCACACGCCCAAACCGGTAATAAAAAAAATGGCAACCCACCACTGATCTGGGCCTCTCCTGGGTCATGAATGCAGTTATAGGGAGATAGCAATAGCAATAGCAGTTAGACTTATATACCGCTTCATAGGGCTTTCAGCCCTCTCTAAGCGGTTTACAGAGTCAGCATATCGCCCCCACAGTCTGGGTCCTCATTTCACCCACCTCGGAAGGATGGAAGGCTGAGTCAACCTTGAGCCGGTGAGATTTGAACCGCCGAACTGCAGATAACAGTCAGCTGTAGTGGCCTGCAGTACTGCACCCTAGCCACTGCGCCACCTCGGATGACCCACAGACGGGCCCATGCTGTAAAATCAGCCTTTTTAGTGAAGTTTTGCTTCTTGTCTTGAAAGAGGTTGTGAGGTGCCCCTTTCTCAAGATGCTGTCCTTGGACCCAACTGTTTGATAACTATTGATGAATCTCAATTTTTACTCTTTCTGGGGAAAGTTGTTAGGCGTCAGCTTGCAGCTGATGAGAACCTTGGAGAAATCTGGATTCATTTCAGTTAAACTTTGAGATTGGGATTTAGTACGGAGGCAACGTTCAGGATTGTAAACGATCTGTGATGGAACCAGGATAGTAGCAGTGCGTCTGTTCTGCTGCTTCTTGATCTGTTGATGGTTCTCGATATTGTTGAAAAACAAGTCTCATCTTTTTCTCCACTGTCCTAAATTGCAGCCCTCAGTGGATTTGCTGGAGATTCTTCTATTAAGATATGCATGGGCCAGTAAAGCAAATATTCAGCTATTTAAATCCATTAATGAACAGTGTGAGGAAGAAAGTTGGGGGAAAGGCTTGCTTTTGAGCAATATGTAAGTAGCCCCATCAGTTCAGTGAATATCAGGCCGTTTCAGAAAGCAAGTCCATTTAAATTGTATAATTCTGTGCATTAGACAGCTACGAACTAGCTCCTAAACCTAATTCAGTTTGAGCAGATTTTATAATTCTACTTCCCCGAGTTGATAGCATAAGCTGTCTCTTCCAATCCCATTGAACAGTCATGTGGTATCTCACTAAAAGCAGCTTGGGAGGAAGTGTATTGCTTTTAGTCTAAAGCAAAAAGCCCTCCATGCAATGCACATTAAACATTCATGAGCAAGGCATTAGCCACTTCACTAATGGAGAGCAAAAAGTATTACGTAGGAACGTGGATAAAGAGAAGTAATGAGAAGGTTTAGGTTTATTAGATTTATATGCCACCCTTCTCCCAAGGACTCAGGACGGCATGGGGACTTGGGTCCAAGAAGCAAAGACATCTGTACCTATTTCATTATTCTCCCTTCACAAGAATGTTCAGTCTCGATTCGCCCACGCAGAAGATCTGCAGCTGATCGCTGGATGTCCCTAAGCTTGTGTGAGCCTGGCAGTTTGACAAAGCTATAACCACACAGCTTTCTGCATATCACCCTATCCCAGGTTGAGTTAAGGTAGCATGACAACAGACCATCTTCTAGTTATCTCTTGGAAGGAGCCAATATAGTGTGCACTACAGAGCATCAAAGCTGTATTTGAGGTTCATATTTAATGCCTTTACACAACAGTTCAGAAACTTGTTAATTCTATTATAAGCGGTCATCCATTTAAGTATGACCAGAAGCAGACCTGAAACGCAGTATGATGCTACCATATCTAAGCATTGTACTCTATAACTTCTGTTCCTATCTATTTACATGTAAATAAAATGTATTCAGTGCCATAACATCCAAAATTAAGGGACCACAATATGTGAGAGTGGCAGAATGATGTCTTCATCAAATCCTCTACAATTGTGGAAGAAACTAGTGATTTCAAACATGAGGGGGGGAAATGGGCACATTTTTTTTCTCTCAAATGAAGGCAAATATATATGTATTTCTACACATTCTCTACATATTCCAGTAGAGAAGTTCCCTGAAATGAGATCCAGCACAAATCCGAAAGCTCAGAAGACTAAACCTCTGGCCCCAGTGACTGACCCAGATTGGATCAGTGGTGGGTTCCTACCGGTTTGACCAAACCGGTAATGATTTGGTGGCCTGAGTCACTGGAATCGGCAGCGACCTAGGCCTGCCAAGCCCCTGAACCAGTTCTCCAGGTGTCGCCATAGAGGCCACCATCTTGTTTTTTGCTTCTACATATGCGCAGAACAATTTTTTTGTGTAAAATATTTTATTCAATTTTTACATTCCATTTGCAATCATTTATATACAGGGTATTTACTATAAGAAAAGAAAAAAAAAAAAGAAAAAAA